GGATGATATTCGCAAACGGATGTTACTTAAGATTCGTCACTGCACGACGCTACCGTTGTCATTCACTGTGCGGGATTCAGTAGAGCTTGAAACGTAGGAGCAACGACGCGAAGCAGCCGTTTTGGCTATGCGACCACCGATCGTACCATCTTATTAGTTTTCTTCAGTGACAGTTGCCACACAGCGTAGCTTTGATGAACTTGCACCGACGCGACGTCGATACGGTGCTGATCAAGCTATGAATTTTACGAACGACGCTAAACTTGAAACGGAGCGACAAATTCGAAAGCCGACTTTCGAAACTGCCCTCTTCCTGCGAAAATTAAACATGCGTTAAAAGACCAGTTCATACGCCACCCTTCATCACTGCTAAGTATGTGTCAGACAGTGTGGCGCACTCCTAAATTATGAAGTGGATATGCTACTTAGTCTTCTACATATTTGCAGAGCATGTATTTTATGATGTTGTTTAAGTAGCAAACAGACAAGTTAGAGTAAATGATTCGAAACTGGCGAAAGACGATAACCGGCTGAATATAACCGTTACAAGTAAGGACAAATCTGTAGAGGTCAATACGGAAAAAGGAGTTTAAGCAGTTCACAAGTTTGTATTGATGAATATCAGACTCTAAGTTTTGCATCTGTTTCGTTTCTCTGTTCCGTTCAGACTATACATCCATCTTAGTTTCCTACGTAAGTGTATTGAATCCGCAATTCATTGTCCCCAACTTTTATCTGACGTCTAGCTAAGTGCCAAATTATTGCGGATTTTCGCGATATGAATTTGAACTTGGTTTAGTTGTGATTAGTGAAATTTAGTAATATTGAAAGTTTATAATTACAGTAATACCTTGAAACCGTTGCTTGCACATCTATTATGACCTTAAGCTGGTTTGATTCGGCATTCAGCGAAGACGCATCGCGGTTGATTGCGGGTTGCAAAAGTGGAAGTCTGAGGGGAGTTCGCTTGCTTTAACATCAAAGACAGTGATTGTTGAAAAGCAAGAACTGTATTGAAAACTGCAATTTCATACCTTAAACAGCATTTTATCCGATTTATGCAGCGATTTAAACAGTCCCTGTAAGTTCTCTATCTATCTTTTATTTATCTCCTTGTTCGTAAGAGCCCTTAAGCGTTCAATGGAGCTGTTATTTCTGCCCATTTCATGTGCTATAGTGACTTTCTTCCATTTCCTAACTGAGCATGCTAGATGGTACACTGATTTATCAGCGAAAGCGGAACATAAGAAGTATTGATATCTATTCTCTGTCAGTTGCTGCTCTTTTATGGGCACAAAGCATATGATTGCGTTAGATAAAATAAGAGACCATGTTGTATGCTATGTCCGGATCGACTAGCAAAATCAGTGGAAATGAAAATGCCACGTGTTTGACAGATCGCTGCATTCAAATACTTCAGTAGAGTATATGGTTCAACTATTATCGTTGATCACAATAGAAGCAAGTTAGTTAGAGGGCTGACTCTTTTCCTCGCATTCAATGTTTTTCAAACGGACGATGTAGAACAGTATGAAAGGGCACAAAAATTGGGCAGAAGTGATACATACAGGTGACAAATATAGGTGACAGTTTTCACAGAAATGTTTCCTACTGTATCATATGCAGGTCATCGAAGTTCAGCAGTAAGAATAAAACAAGAGTACGTTTTATTTGATTTTTAATTTCAATGACAAGCAAAATTTTGCTTGCTTAATCGTGGTAACTATAGCTATGACTGTATGAAAAATGAACATGACAAATGTAGCATAATAAAAATTTTATCACTCTGATACCCGATTTGTGGCAAAGGAGTTTATTATTTAATCTACAGTATACCCTGGTAGATAAATGATCGGTTGAAGATGATGAATATTTTGAATGAAATACTCTCATTAAGAATGCTGTGATGGACTATGTCCACCATTTACGTGATACGCGCGCTACTTGCACCATGCGTTGAGTTTCACTCTTTTCTTTACACTGTTGACCTTGAACATCCTGATAGCAGTGACTTTTAACGTTTGAAGTATTTGTATACGGTTGTTGAAGGATATCAGGAAATCAACAGTAAATAAATCTCAATTTATCAGCAAGCGATTAAGTTCCAAGAACACAACTTATCCACTAGCCAACATCCAAGATGATCAAAACATTAGCACTCGTAACAGCAGTATTAAAAGTCATTGCAGTATTCAAACTCAGCGTCATTGGTCGTTGTGTAATGTCTTGTGTAAGTGATGATGATTTTCATAAATCTATGAACCGTTGTTAGTGGCATTTAAGTACATTTCAACTTTCATATGATGATGCATCCTGTAATTTATATTTGCTACATTTTAGACATATTCGGGCTTGTTCTGCGTCGTGATTAACCCATATAAGAGGCTGCCAATATATACGGAGTCTGTTATTAAAATGTACATGGGCAAACGACGAAACGAAATGCCGCCGCACTTGTTCGCCACTTCCGACGAAGCGTACCGCAATATGTGCCAATGTATGGAACCCAGATACCGAATAGTGCAAATGATGTTGTAACTGACGAGTTTAGGTCGCGAAAACCAGAGTATGTTGATTACTGGAGAATCCGGTGCAGGAAAGACTGAAAATACCAAGAAAGTCATTGCGTACTTCGCTATTGTTGGAGCAACGCAGGCGGCTATGGCAGCAAAGGCTTCTGGAGGCGACGAACCGAAGAAGGTAAGTGTGACAATATCGGCGGTGTCGACGACATTTGTCGGTTTCAGAAGAAAGCGACACTGGAGGAACAGATAGTGCAGACGAACCCAGTGCTGGAAGCGTTCGGTAATGCTAAAACCGTCCGAAACAATAATTCATCTCGCTTTGGTAAGTTCATTCGAGTCCACTTCAGCAAGAACGGCAAACTGGCTGGTGGTGACATCGAACACTGTAAGTACATTGCGTTTTATTAACGTGTTGGCTGCGTTCTGACTGGTTGCATTCGATGCAGACCTGCTCGAAAAGTCACGTGTCATCCGTCAGGCCTCCGGGGAGCGATGCTTTCACATATTCTACCAGATCATGTCCGGCCAACTGAAAGAACTGCGAAGTACGATTAGGATGCAGATACTGGCCACCGTTCAATATTCTAATATACGGTAACGTTTTGCAGAGATGCTGAAACTGACCAAAGATCTGCGATACTACCACTTCGTCTCGCAAGCCGAGCTGACCATCGACGGCGTCGACGACAAAGAAGAAATGAAAGTCACAGACGTAAGCCAGTGACCGTGTACGTTGTTCGCGTTGACACTTACTCGTTCAAGGAATCGTTTGACATTATGGGTTTCGAACAAGAAGAAAAAGACAACTTATTCAAATTATGTGCTGCTATCATGCACATGGGCGAAATGAAGTTCAAGCAGCGACCGCGAGAGGAACAAGCTGAGGTCGACACTACAGAAGGTAAAGTATCCTTTATGCTCCCTTTAGTTTCATGTTAAACACTGTACCAACCAGTAACAAAATGACAAACCGAAGCAATGGTAATCACAGACAGTAAATAACCGATTGATTATTGCTACCGAATGATGGCGCAAATCCGGTCGATTTTACCTCCCTCATTCAGATCTTATTTCATTTCAGATGCTGAAAATGCTTGCTTCAACTTTGGAATAAGTCATGAAGATTTCGTCAAAGCTTTGATCAAGCCACGTGTGCGAGTGGGCAACGAATGGGTTAACAAGGGTCAAAACTTAGACCAGGTAACGAATTACCTCATTTTACCGTTTAACAGTCATTGGCGACAAATGTGCTTTGACATTATTGTGCTTCTAAGCTGTGTGTTTCATTTATAGTACGAACAGGAATGGCGTATTATTCTGATTAGACTCTAGATAATGCATATCTATTATAACCACTTCTCAAAAGTAACCCATGTTCACAGTAGAAAAACTTTTTGGGAAAGGATAATACAAGCCGAGTTATGTCTATAAAGACAGGACGTATTTCCATTAGCAGTTTACTGTTTTGTACTGAAAGTTGTTCATATATGTACATATATATGTTTAAGGTTCACTGGGCTGTTGGGGCCTTAGCCAAAGCGATTTATGCCCGCATGTTCCACTGGCTCATCAAGCGGTGCAACAAAACGTTGGATGTGCAGGAAGCAGAACGCAAGTACTTCATTGGTGTACTGGACATAGCAGGATTCGAAATCTTCGACTTCAACTCGTTCGAACAACTGTGGATCAACTTTGTCAATGAACGATTGCAGCAGTTCTTCAATCACCATATGTTCGTGTTAGAACAAGAAGAATATAAACGCGAGGGTATTAAATGGGAATTTATTGACTTTGGTCTCGACTTGCAGGCCTGCATCGAGCTACTGGAAAAGGTAACGAGAATAATCACTTAGTGTGATCGCGTTATGTAGTCGCCTTGCATCCGTCTATAGCCTCTTGGTATCATATCCATGCTGGATGAAGAGTGCATCGTTCCTAAAGCCTCAGATATGACATTTGTGCAGAAGTTGAATGATCAGCATTTGGGCAAACATCCAAACTTCCAGAAGCCAAAGCCGCCAAAGGGAAAACAATCTGAGGCGCACTTCACATTGGTTCACTACGCCGGATCTGTACGTGTTTTATTCCTGTCACGAGTTATGTATATCTCAGTATTTATAGGTGCGCTACAACGTGACCAACTGGTTGGAAAAGAACAAAGACCCACTGAACGACACTGCTGTAGCTTGCCTAAAACATGGACCGACTAACAAGCTGGTGCTGGAAATCTGGGAGGACTACCAGACCCAGGAAGAAACTGCGGAAATCATTAAAGCTGGTATGTGTAATTCTGGGAAACATGCAATTTAAGATTGTTATTTTCATTATTTGAATGAGGTTCTAGAATTGTACATATATAATATAAGTACTTAATTACCTGCGTCATTTACGCCATGAGATAAAAATGAAAGTTAGACAGCTGTATTAAGACGACCTGATTTTGTTCGTGTTTATCTCATGGTGATCGTGGTGCGTCATACTTAAAATTACACCAGTGTTTCTGGACTTAAAGCAGCAAATTTTTGAAGTTTCATCGTTATAAATTGCAAATTAGTTTAACATGTGCGTTTATTGCTGCCGTCTCGTTTGATAAATATTTTACTCTTTGAAGCTTGTTTTTAACATTGTATTTCTGTTTCAGGAGGTAAGTCTTCTTCGGTCGTCCAAAGAACAACATATGTCAGCCGGACGTCAACTTCTTGCATAGATGGTAAATGATTTCATTCATGTTGTAGGTCAAGGCAAAAAGAAGGGCAAAGCTTCATCGTTCTTGACCGTTTCAATGATGTACAGGGTAAAGCAAGAAAAACCCCGAACTTCGACATGAGATAAATGATAACTTTTCAGGAGAGTCTGAATAAACTGATGAACATGTTGAACACAACTCATCCTCATTTCATTCGTTGCATTATTCCCAATGAACAAAAGAAAAGCGGTGTGATCGAAGCTGGGTTGGTTTTGAACCAGCTGACCTGCAACGGTGTACTGGAAGGCATTCGTATCTGTCGTAAAGGTTTTCCAAACAGAGTTGTGTATTCTGACTTCAGACACAGGTTTGTTGTCGCTGAGTCTAAACTAAAGTGCGTTTTAAAATGTTCCTTTCGCTATTCTCTAGATATGCTCTTTTGGCCAGCGACGAAGCGCATTCCAGTGATGATCCGAAAGTGGCCAGTGAAAAAATGATCGATAAAATGATAGTTAACAAGTTGTTCAGCGATGAAGAACACAGGATTGGACTGAACAAGGTATGTCGTATGAAACATTATGAAAATAACTAAGCACTTATCCTGCTTTGTTAGGTATTCTTCAAAGCTGGCGTTTTGGCCAGACTCGAAGACGCACGTGATCAGAAACTGGGAGAAATTGTAACAGGATTCCAGGCAAAGATTCGCTGGTACTTAGCTAAGATTGACGTGAAGAGGCGTGAAGAACAACGGTGCGTTGAAACGAGGGTTACTGTGGATTCAGTAAATAGAAGACTACCTTTTCAGAACGGGCTTGCTGATCATCCAGAGGAATGTAAGAACATGGCTGCAGCTCCGCAACTGGCAATGGTTTAAACTTTATGGCAAGGTATACCGCGAAAGCTTACAGTGACTACGGGTTTTTATGTGACTGTTTTCAGGTCAAACCTATGCTTCGCTCCACTAAAATGGAGGAAGAAATGCAGAAACTGGAGGATAAAATCAAAGACTTAGAAACTAACTTAGCAACCGAATCCAACTCACGCAAGGACCTTGAAGACAAATTAGCCAAAATGATTCAGGAAAAGAATGATCTTTTCAGTCAGCTGCAAAGCGAGCGTGGCAACGTGAGTTCATCGGAGGAAAAGATTCAGAAATTGTCTTCTCAGAAGACTGACCTTGAACGACAATTGCAGGTTTCTGATGACAATTTAGTAAACTTGAATAACACTGAATTTCAGGAGATTACCGATAAACTGGGCAATGAAGAAGATAGGACTTCGGAGTTGCAAAAGGCAAAGAAAAAGCTTGAACAAGACATTGAAAATTTACTGCGCAAAATTCAAGACTTAGAGTTGAGCCTGCGCAAAGCTGAGTCAGAGAAACAGTCCAAGGACAACCAGGTTCACAGTTTGCAAGACGAGATGCTAAACCAAGACGAAGCTATTGCCCGGGTCACGAAAGAGAAGAAACAGCAAGAGGAAATTAACCGAAAACTTATGGATGACTTACAAGCAGAAGAGGACAAGGTTAACCACCTGAATAAAATCAAGGCCAAGCTTGAACAGCAATTGGATGACGTAACGAACGAATTTGACAATTCGTGCCGTAGTAGTGACTGATGGCCGTTTTAGCTAGAAGACAATCTGGAACGTGAAAAGCGCAACCGTCAGGATCAAGAAAAGGCCAAGAGGAAGACAGAAGGTGACCTGCGGGTAAGCAGTGAAAACATCGAAGAACTGAACAAACAGAAGCATGATCTGGAAAACAATATGAAAAAGTAAGATTACGATAACGAATAAGGATAAAAAACATATTCAACGATGTACATTTTACAGGAAAGAACAAGAAATGCAGGCGGTAATGAGCAAACTCGAAGATGAACAGAGTTTGGTGGCCAGGCTGCAGAAGCAAATCAAGGAATTGCAAACTCGCATTCAGGAGATGGAAGACGAACTCGAACAAGAACGCCAAGCCCGTGCAAAGGTGAGAGCAGACCGAGAGACCGTTTGAAGGAAGCATCGATTCTAAGCCGAGCGTTGGTTTCAGTCTGAAAAAGTTCGCGGCGATGTCCAGCGACAGCTGGAAGAGCTGAATGAACGTTTGGATGAAGCCGGGGGAGCTACGGCAGCCCAGATGGAAATGAACAAAAAGCGGGAAGCTGAGCTGGCTAAACTGAGACGTGACCTTGAAGAAGCAAACATGAACCACGAAAGCCAGCTTGGGGCCCTCAGAAAGAAGCACAACGACGCCATTGCCGAAATGACCGACCAGCTGGAGCAGCTGCAAAAGGCGAAGGCGAAGTATAGCGATTTATGACTAGAGTTATTGGCAGTTAACCTGTTGCTACATTTAAGGAGCGATAAGGAAAAGGCAGAATTGCAGAGGGAAAACGAGGACATTCACGCGGCAGTGGAACAAGAGAGTAAAGCCAGACAAGAAGTTGACCGAATTTCCAAGCAACTCGAACTTCAAGTAAGCCGTATCATTGCTGAATGGTGATTAA